GACTGTTCTGGAGATGAAGTGAGAAGGATGTGCTGATTTTGGTTCTGATGGAGAGGGAAGGGTCACCAACATGGTGGTTTCTGTACTCATGGGAGGGGTTGAGTAGCAGCTAGGTAGCCTACACAAAGAAAGCCCTGGCTTTTTATTTCTAGTTGGGTTCCCTGGGTGTTGGTATCAGGATTTAAGGCCAGTGTCTGGGAACTGTTAGATCAGTACCAAACATGTTAACTGATGTGACTGGCACAGCATTGGATGGGAGGATAGGAGATGCCAAAGTGCTACATGTGTGGGTGGAATACTTGGTCCCCAAGTCACAGCCTGGTCAGTTTATTGTGAGTTAGAGCCCCAGAGCAGACCTCAGGTCTCTGAGCTCAGAGATGACTCAAGCAGGATTTCTCTTTGGCTCCTGTACACATGTTATTGATCTGGCAACCATGAATGACAAATCACTCTTTATGAAGTGCAAACAAAACAACCCTTCAGCAGGGGATTGAAAACAAACTCTCTGACTGTACCATGGCTGACCATATGGCCTTAGGGTGAACATGTCTCAACCACCCTATGTGCCATGTTCTACACCTACCTGAATGGTGGGCAGGGGAGGTCACTAGCTTAAAAAACGGCTGTGAGGGGAAGCTTAGAAGAAAACTTAGGGGGTCTCGAAGGCAAGTCGTACCTCCCAAGTGTCCAGGAAGGGGTCCTGGAGTGAGTTGTGATTAGAGGAATGATGTAGATGTTGGTAACTAGAGGCAAGATGTAGATGTTGACGTCAGGCATTTTTTCCCAGGAGCTGCAGAATGGCTGAGCTGTTGATCTTCTGCTAACCCTCTGCTCTGATATGAGACACAGGCCTTTCAACATTTTCTGCCTGCAGGAATAAATGCCATCCAGGCAGCACCTGGGACTCTGGATGACAGTTGGGCAATAGATTTTTTGGCCATGGTTTGCCTTCTCTAAAGGGAATTTTACTGGGCTTAAAAGGAAAGGATTTATTAAAAAGCAGATTAACTCAAGTCACCATCTAGACTATCTCTATGAGGGGGCTGAATAGCTGAAGCCAACACTGGTTGTAATTTTTGAAGGATGTTGGGTAGGGTTCTGTATTTACACATGTATCCCCATGCCCATCTCCAAATGCCCTGAAGTTGGAAACTAAGTGTTTTCCTTGCCCACCACTCCTATTAATGGACTAGTTGTAGAATGATTAAATGTCAAAAGTGGAGAAACCTAACATGGGACCCATGTTGCTGCTTTCTGCTTTAGAGAAGACAGAATGCGAGAAAAAGGAAGGGCAGGCGGAAGTTATCCCGGGAGGATTGCAGCCAGTGTACAGTGTGCATGAAAGTTGGCACCATAGTAAAAGAGGAAGGAAACAAATGCCACTAGACTTCAAGAGATGAGAAATTACATTTTCTGAGATGCCTGGGGTGGGGAGTCTGGGTGACTCCCAAAGGATCTGTACTGGAGGAACTTCAGTTCAGAGAGGACCCCAGATGCAGTGCTGGGGAAAGTATGCGTTCATCATAGACTAAGTGGTCCATTGTGGCTAACTCACAAAACTGTCCTATGATCTCATGGCAGATATTCAGTGTACAGATTTTCCTCTGTACTGCGATTGAGTGGCTTACAGAGCCTGTTAGTGGCAGAAGCTGGGGCTTAGTACACTCTCCACTCTTTTAGATTGCCCCATACTTTTTAATGGCTTTAGTATCATATATTGTAGAGGGGTTTGCATGTTCAACTGAGGGGCCTTAACTTGATTTGATGAGTATTGAAGAGCTTTTTAACTTTTGAAAAGGGAAAAACGTAATCAGATCATTGATTTAGAAATTTAATCTGGCCAGGGTGTGACAGTACCAAATCAAGGCAACTACTCAGAACAGCTCATGCCTTAGGGATCCCAGGCCTAAGAGATGCTGAAGTGATTGGTTAAGTTAACAATGGCCTGCAACATCAGACAGCCAATCTGTAATACAACCGAGGTTCAAATTCAAGTCTGTTTTAATGTCTGTAGCCTGCCTGGATTCCAGTTCTGAGACAGGAGGAAAGGTAACACAGAAAATAAAGTTGAAGGTGACATTGCTCCATCATCCTTGTGGGTTGTCACGCAGCAGTGAACATAACCTCACAGGTGGTCTAGGAAGTGAGTTTATCTGACTTGAAACTACATGGCAGTAACTGCCCTGATAGTCACCAGATTAAGTGAAAACTCACAGTCACATCTAATAGCTCTCCTCTAAAAAGACTCGGATACAAAAAGTGTGTGTGTGTGTGTGTGTGTGTGTGTGTGTGTGTATGTGTGTGTGTGTGTGTCTGTGTCTGTGTGTACATGCACATGTGCATGTGCACATATGAGTTACACTTCTCAATTGCTCTCCAAGTTATACTTTGAGCTAAAGGGCTGGCCAGCAGCCCCATGGATGCTCTTGTCTCTACTTCCCAAGTGCTGGGATTACAGGTGCACACCCCATGCTCATCCTCTTAAGTGCTAACTGAGGATCACAATGCTCAGGGTGGTGTAGGGAGCACTGTACTGACTGAGCCTTATTGCCAGAACAGTGCAAGGATAGCTGTGATTCTGATGGAATCTTGGCCATGGATTCATCTCCTCACCCTGCTGGGTTTTGATTATTCCACTCTTTTGATACTTTCTCCCCCTTGACACTTGTCGAAGAAACTAGCCCCTCTGTTTTTCCTTCTTGGCCACTTTGCTTTGCACTAGGCTGCTTTGCTCCTGAAGCATCTTGCCTCTTGTGTGAATCAATCCCTTCCCTGAGCAGCGCTTGCTCAGGCATTCTCAGTGTTTTGCACCTGGGACATTGAAAGTGAAAAAGGTGCTTTATTTATCTTTGCCAGGTAAGATGTTTTACCCAGATCCCCTTGCTGTCCAATTTCCTGTGTGCACTGTGCCACTACAGGAAGCCTCAGGGCACTCATGTATCCCTTCCCCAATTTAGCTGTTTCAATATACATGGCCCTCCCTGGATCCTTGGTGAATGGGACAGTATGTGGCTCTCTGCCAAGGACCACAGACACATCCTGCATCCATTCTCCTATTATGAGATAAAAGATGAACACAGCTCCAAAATCTTGGGTGTGGCTTCCCAGTCTGGTTCTTGTTACACACAGGGAGCTCTCAGGGTGACATCAGAAAAAGCACATGAGCCATGTGCCTGTTGCCGAAGTGTAAAGCCAGGCAAAGTTCCCAGCTATCTTGAATGCTTGTGTCTCCTATCAGTGCTATACAAACTTGGTAATTGACATAATGAGAACAGAGCTGACACCTGACACTTGACATTATGTCCAAAGTGTCCTTTGCAATGTAAATAAATAAATAACTAGGTGACAATGCAGGTTTAGCAGCTATGAGCACTTGATGGGTTTGGCTCCAGTACCCACATGGTGACTTCCAACCACCTGTAACTCCAGTTGCAAGGGACCCTCTTCCGGCTTCCATGGGCACCAGGAACACACATGGTGTACATACATAAAAGCAGATAAACACATGGTAATAAGTAAGTAAATGGATGAAAATGGGAAATGGCCACATTGTGGGCATGTTTGGAGGCTACCTTTTTGTGTTGTTGTTATAAGAGCAAGGAGCCTAGAAATAGACACTTACGAGAGCAACCATAATACTTAGAGTAAAGGGGGATCTCAGAAAGATGTGAAGACTTCATTTCCTGAGTGCTAGGAAGGGATCTGTATGCATTTTCATTAATGGGTTGGGTAGCCTATATGTGTGTTCAACTTCATCTTCTCTGTGTCAGAGCCCCTGGGGTCCATGTTTGTCCATGATTGTGATGCTAATGGGGATGGCCTTCTGTGTCCAACTCTTTAGCTCCACCCCTGTCCTTCATATGTTTTCCACAAGCACTCCAGCCTCCAACTGGGCTCTTCCTCTTTTTAGTCCTTTTACATCATCACACCATTGCCCAGCTCCTTTGCTTTGGCCCAGACCTGGAGATGGTAGGCAGTTTTTCAGCCACACTGATAGCTTTGATAGCTAACAAGGCAGGGTATCCAATCATGGAGACTACTCAGTTATTCTCTACTCAATGTGCCTGGGACACCACAGGACCCGGCACTATGAGTCCTGAGTTTTAAATAGGCCTTCATTTAGGAGAGGAGGAGTTGGAGCCTCTGGGCCCTAAGTTGCTTTTAGTTCACTAGCTGATTGGGTACATATGTGGGTAGCAGGCACTGTTATCAGAGAGTTGGAAGTAAAGCGCCAGCCTCCCTTGTAGAGCACCAGCCCCCCTTGTAGAGCGCCAGCCTCCTTGTGGTTTTGTGAACTATGAAACGATGATGGCTCAGTTCACCATCATAAGCAATTTCTTGCCCTAATCGGTATCCCAAATGTTTGTCATTCCTCTCTGCATTGAATGCTTGTATCCCCTGGGGACATGAAAGCACACACCTTTCATTTATTACCTGTCTTCCTACTTTGTATTTCAAAAGTAACTGTGGTTGTGTTTATGTGATGTGAGGTATCCTCTTTATCTGACTTGAATTTAGTCTCCAATCGCTTTGGTTACGGTCCTTTTATTTGATGTGAGATCAGGCTGGTGCATGCCCTTTGTGTAATACATCTGTATGAACAGATTTGTATTCAAATCTGTCCCCACCAGCATACTAGGTTCAGTGCAAGAGAAGATCCTTGTTCTTAAAAAGGAAAACATCTGGGGAATGGAGTGGCACAGAGTATGAGGAACAAAGATGAAAGGATGCATGTGTAAATTCTTAGGATAACAGGCAATGTATCCCCATCTATAGGGTCACACCATCTCCTGAGTGACGTTTGAAAGCCCCATTCGTACCTGCTTCTCCTTCCCATTTTCAGGGTTTGTGTAGGCCTATGAGGGAGGTCAAACTTTACACAGTTATCCACATTTATCCCCAAGAGATGCTTATTATCATGGTTCACCTTTATTGGAGTCTGTGACAGGGAGCAGCACCTTTCCATGGCCAGCGACTAATACAAGCTCTTTTCCTTCCAGGGATGAAAAGAACCAATCCATCATAGTCAGCGGAGAGTCTGGAGCAGGGAAGACTGTATCAGCCAAGTATGCCATGCGCTATTTTGCCACAGTTGGTGGCTCAGCCAGTGATACCAACATTGAAGAGAAGGTCCTGGCATCCAGTCCCATCATGGAGGTAAAGCCTTCCTTCCCAGGGGATCAATGGGGGTTGAATACGGCATGAGTGATGAAGAATATCTTTGAAACAGCTCACCTAGGTAACATTCACGCCCTCCTATGTCAGGGAGAGACAAGAGTGTCACCAAAACCTCAGATCTAAACATAATCTGACCTGGCCACATCCTGCAGGGGCCCAGCGTTACACGGAGTGTGTTCTGTGTTCGTGTTCTGTGTCCTCAGACTCTGCGCTCACTGTAGTAATGGCCATTGCCTTACTGCTGCCACCACTGCTGCTTCCCATTCTTGCTGCTGTCATAGGTCAGAAAATTAGCATCTCCCCAGAACCAGTAGATACTTCAAAGGACTCTCTGAATGAGAAGGCCATTCCATGGTGGGTGAGACAGACTAGGTAGCAACTGGGAAGCATTATCCTTATGGAGAAGGGTGGTGAAGGAGAAGCAGCACAGCTGGGACACCATTGCTTCTGCTGAAGATCTTCAGAAACAGTGCCCTGTAATGGCACAAAGTAGCCAAGGCACGCCCTGTCTGGGTCCTGTCACTGGCTAGGACACTATGACAGGAACCTGGTTTGGGTGGGCTCAGAGAACTGGAATTAAGTTCAGGTCAAAGTTGTTTCTAAAAATTAGATCTTGATGTAGCTCATAATGGTTGAAGGTCTCTCTCTCTTTCTCTCTATCTCTCTCTGTCTTCTACTCTCCCTTCTCATCGTCTGTCTCCTCTTTAATCTCTCCCTCCCTCCCTTCTCTTTGTCTTTTTCTGTCTCTCTGTGTGTCTGTCCTCTTTAAAGGATTTATTCTGATAGAGGAGGACTAAATGTCTTCATAGCCTGGGTCACTTTGGATACTCCACTGTTGTAGTTTCTTTCTTTAGCTGGACAAGAGCAGCTAAGGAAGGAAGGGAGGGAGGGAGGGAGGAAGGAAGGAAGGAAGGAAGGAAGGAAAGAAGGAAGGAAGGAAGGAAGGAAGGTAGGACTTATGTTACTTTACACTGGAAGTCAGAGCAGAAGTCTGAAGCAGGAACCATATGGGAATGCTACTACCTGGCTCATGTGTGCCCAAGGAATGGTGCTGTCCATAGTGTGCTGGGCCTACTGCATCAGATGATTACCAAGACAGTCTCTAGCAGACATGCCCACAAACCAGGCTGATCTAGGTAATTCCTGAGTTGAGGGTTTCCATTCAAATTACTCTAGGCCATGTTAAATTGGCAATCAAGCTGGCTAGCTCTTACACCCACTGTTGAAGCCAGTGTTCTTTTTATTGGCAGGTTTGAATATTGCTTACTTTCTCCAGACCAGACGCCACCTTTGTTTTCTTAAGAAAAAAATAAAGACACATTGTGAAGAGGACAGGGTAAAAATGACTCCCCAGACCCAACTGAAAGCTATGTGCAGCCGTACCTCCAACTTCTGTGTGTTAACCGTACCATCGCCAGCATAGCACTGGAGAAGGGTGATAGGGATTGCTGGGGGAGATAAGTGAAGGAGTTGACAAGCCACAGAGAAGATTTGCAGGGGTTTCTGCTGAGCTCACTTCTTGAAAGCTGGAGTCCAAACTTGAAAAAAGCAAGGGGGGGGGTGCAGAAAGAAGGGGAAAGCTGATGCTGGCAAGGGTGCCATCACTGCAGAAATGGATACTCCCAACCTCCCAACAGAGCTGTCACAGAAGCCTGCAGGCACTTTAGATGCCGTGTGTGTGTGTGTGTGTGTGTGTGTGTGTGTGTGTGTGTGTGTGTGTGTGTGTGTGTGTAACTACCAGTGACTATAAATTTGGGAGTGTTTTTTTTTTTTTATGAAATTCTAGAGAAGAGTTTTATTTCTTATTTTATTTTTTTTCCCTTGGTGTGTTGTTAGCACACAGAAAACTTCACTGGTGTGGAGGAGCAGCTGTATTGCTAACAGTGTCTCCTTGACTAGACTGATGTATGCAGGAAATATCTCCCTTGCTCATGCTACAGTCTTCCTCTTGGCTCCAAGAGGAAGGATTCCCTGACCTTAAGACCCATGGCCACTTGCACAAGTCCTGGTAGTGAGTGAAAACTCCAGCCCATTTTATACTCCTTCCTGTCTATGACTCCCTTAAATCCAGAGACCTGTTGGGGACAGTGCATCAAGTCATCAGGATTCTCTGCTGATAGCTTTGAGGCTGCCCTCTTCAAGAGTGGTGACTCCTTTTCTAGACTGCTAGTCTTCGGATGAGTAATTCTGCCACTTTATTTTCCTGAAAGTCAGGGCTGGTTTGTAAACCTTTAAGGAACATACTTCCTAGTAGCAGTCAACTCTCATGGTGAACTTTCCCTTTTCCCAGCCTCAAATGGAGACTTTATTGAGTTTTGCAGCTGGGAGGGGGCTGTCTGATTTTAATAATCTATACAAGAAGGGAGTCAGAAAATTCAATACTAATGGTCATTTGCCCATCATGAAAAGAACCTGGATACAGTTGGTTGGAATTTGGTTTGGAAGGAAACAGAAGCAGCCCAGTTCAGATAAAGTCTGGTTTCATTGCAGGTCCTGAGCCCCATCAACCCAAACAAGTTATTGCAGCCATAGATCTTTGCACTGTTATGTAGCACTATGCTTCCTGAACCTTCTATGGTACCTCTGAGTCCCTCTATTTCCCTCTGCCTTTGCCAAGTACAGAAGTAAATTCAGAGTCTCAGGTCACAGCAGGTTTTTTTTCGTTTGTTTGTTTTTGTTTTTTGTTTTTGTTTTTAATTCAAACAAAATTCTTTCAGAGTGGCTTTACCTGGAAAACTGTCCTTCCTGCTCAGGGATAGGACCATAGCCTTGGCCTTCCTGACTCCTGGTGTGTCAGGAAAACAGCTAGGCCACTGCTGTGCAGTTCACACTGGATTTCCTCTCAAATGAGACCGAAGTCAGCCTTTCTCCCTTGCTTGACTTTCAACATTCAGTTTATCTTTCAGAGACACGGGCCTTCTTTTAAAAATAAGGTAGTTATCCTGGCACATCAGAGAATTATCTCTTTGATGCCTGGTCGCTGATCAAAGTGCATGTTAGTCATTCTTGGAATTCAGCGCAGGCAAGACACCATGTTACTAAATAAGACAAAAAGGGGCATTTCCAAAATTTTTATTGTGTAAAATATCCATGGCAGATATACACCACTATAGATTTATGAATCAGAGGCATTAAATAAATTCATTGTTTGTATCCACCACTACCATTTACTTCCAAACTTTCCCATTGCACCACTAAAAATCTTATCCCATTGAACAATGACTTTATCCTTCACCAAGTCCTTGCCAAACTGTTTTCAACCTCTTTGACTTTTACTACTCTGGGAACTTCATGTGAGTAGCATCGTGTAATACTGGTCTATGCTTATCTGGTTAACTTTACTTGGCATGATGTTTCCAAGTTTCATCCATATCTATCAATACTATGATTTGTTTGGTTATTCCTCTCCTGATAGAAATGTGGGTGTTTCTATGTTTTGGCTATTGTAAATATTCCTTCTGTAGACATTGATAATGTGGAAGTTATTGATTTAAATCCCTATCCTGGGAATACTTTAAACTATAGTGGTTACTATTAACTTATAGTATGCACTGCCCCTTACAGCCCAAGTAGGCTGTTGAGTTCTATGAGAAGGATGCTTTGGCATGGAACAAACATAAGAGCAACATGCATCCCCAATGGAGACCAGGGTGTGGTTAATTGCTAGAGTCTGAATGAGGAGTGAGGACATGAACTGCCCTAATCACAACTGTGTATATATAGTTGCTTGGGTCCCAGGCTTGACACTCTGCCTTGTGAGCTAGCTGCTTTGGAATCCATTCTCTTAAGTACTGAGGACTCTGTCCATCAGCTGTGAGCGGATGGTGCAGATTTGGAATCCATCCACTTAAGGACTGAGGACTCCACCCATCAGCTGTGAGTGGATGGTGCTATCTGTGGGGGAAGGTGTGAATTTGGTTGTGAAGAGGAAGCAGCAGTGAGGAGGGATGCTGGCTGGGATTAGAGTGCTGCCAACAGAAAGTGAGAAACCTTTTGCTCTGCCAACATCCAGAGCACAACTTTTCAAATGTTTCAGGATTAGCCAGCCTGTACTCAGGAAGTCATCAACTTTTGGCTCCTCGGAGAGGGCTAAGCAACATTGTCTCAACTGGGAGCAGCTGGTTACTGACTATTCTGCCCAGTCCTGGAAGAGTTCCCCTGCTCACCCCTAAGCAATCAGTTACTGTGTCATGTTTCCTTGTTCTCACTACAGACACCACCCCGGGGAGACTGAGAGCCAGACATATCTGTATCTGAGGATACAGAAGGACTAGTAGGCTGAGCTGCGTGTCAGCTGTGGAATTATGAAGACTGGGCTAGGATTGGCTGGGGCAGATCCATGTGATTCGTTGGCAGTGCTAGTATGCCCTAACCCGATTTTTCTAAAGAGCTTGTGAGCATCCCAGGAGGGATTTGTCCCCAAGTCTGCACCAATTAGGAGAGTATTGCTAATCAGGAGATCAGGGGTGGGGGCAGGGACAGAACCCAAATCCAGGCAATTGGACTACATAGAGAACCTTGACCCCCATCCCCCACCTAAAGTATTGTGTATCGTTTGATCTATGGTTTGTGCTGTGGAAAATGATCCTTAGGGTGGGTGACATGCTCATTTGCCTTAGTAATGAGTAGAATAGGCATGCTATTTGATGGCCACTCCAGGAAGTGCCATTTACCAGAAGGGCAAAGCATTTGGCTGCCTGATTACATGAGGGATCGCGGTAGATTAAGCGCTGCAGAAACGTGGGCACAAGTGCTGACTTGGTGGCTCCAGGACATCAGAGCCAGAGTCTCTGATTCTCTAGCCCTTTGCTTCCTGGGCCCAGAGTGACTGGTACAGTTGTCACATGTATATTCCAGATAGAAAAAAAGGAATCAGCGTGGAGGAATGGTGGGTTAGAGGCTCTCTGACCTGCCTGTGTCAACTCTAAAGAGGCTTCTACTCAACTAATAGCTCTTTAGGGTGGCCAGTAATTGTAAAAGGGCTGAAAGGGACATTGGTTTTGGTTTAGCTGTAATCAAACCAAGCAGAATTTCTCTGTCAGCCCATTGTCTTCATAATAGCAGAGATGTGTATATCGAAGGAAAAGGGTTACCATAGTGCCATGGGTCTACAGTCTTGAAGTCAAGAAGCCCAGGGCAGGGTGTTTGTATGGGAGGTGCCTGTGTTCTTTTCTGACTGAGCTGTCTTCCCGGTTATTACACATTTCTATTGTCTGTCAATCCAGGCCATTGGGAATGCCAAGACCACTCGCAATGACAATAGCAGCCGCTTTGGGAAGTTCATTGAAATTGGCTTTGATAAAAAGTACCACATCATTGGGGCCAACATGAGGACCTACTTGCTGGAGAAGTCCAGGGTGGTTTTTCAGGTGAGTGGTTGGACTCGGACATTTGTATTTTGCTGCCAGTATTATTATGCCCACACCCTGTACGCACAGAACAGCCCTTCTTTTGGCCTGGGATCAAGATTCTTGTTTGCATTCTTCTCTTTCAGAGTAAACATTCATTTGGACTAAGCATTTGGTCCACAAATCTTTTACACAGCTTTGACTATTGTGTGTTAAACAGGTGCTCAACCCTGAGATAAAGGACAGGGTAGTCTTCTTGCAGCTTTTACAGTCTTAGCAATAGACAATGTTATAAACAGGGCCTGGGTTCAGCTTTTCAGGGAGCCTGCTTGTTTGGTGGGTCAAAATATGGGTGTGGCTAGAAAGATAGGTGTGTATGCTAAAATAGAATACATGTGTACACACACATTCACACTCACACTCGCACACACAACACACTTTCAACCCACACAGTCATACACACACACACACAAAGTCAGTAACACACACACACAGTTACACACACAGTCAGTCACATACACACAGCATTCTTTCCTAGGAATCCATGTCCTCATATGGATGGGGGTCCTCTGCCTCCCCTCCTTTGCCTCCTGCTTAGTTATCCTTGGCCTCTGCCTGAACCCTTTCTTCCTGACTCTGGAGATGGTTGGTGCCACCCCACCCACCATTCCTCTGTAGCAGCTTTGTCCTCCCACCACTGGACTGAGTTAGCAGAGGTGGCCTGATTTGCATCTGTAGCTTGCTTTTTTCTTATGCACAGTGGCTTCCCAGTCCCTGGGGTTTAGCCCTCCCCAGGATCCCCCAGAATCTCCTGAGCTGTTTCTGAGTGATGCCTCCCTGCTGATGGGTGGCAGGTATTTCATGAAGTTTTAGACCAGCTCCCCCTCTTCCCTCACAAGTTAGTTGGGCAGTCCTGTATCCTTCCTTCACTACAGCAGAGAGAGCAGGTAGCTCTGTTGGGTGGACTGACAAGCTGCTTGCACTTCACACTGGCTTTGAGTTTTTCTCTTTCATGGTAGTCACTACCCAGGCCTCCTAAATATTTATATACCATTCTCCAGCCAATTTAAGGTTATTCTAGTCATGAGCATCCATTGAAAGTCCTCTGGGACCTTCCTGACTGCCCAGCCCAAAGATGTAGGCAAGCTCAGCTTTAGTCCCAAGCCCCAGGGGAGCTTCCAACAGGGATGCAAAGGACTGAGAGTGTGGGTCAGGCAGCAGCAAGGATGGTAGTGTTTGCTGACTGATCCACCATTTGTGGCATGACACTGGTGTTTAATGTAGAAAGAAAAAGGAAATGCCTGCTTCCATGTAAGCCAAGAGGTAAAATTCCTCACAGAAGGCCCTGTCAGAGCAAGGGGAAAACAAGGCAGTTAAAGTTGCAGGTGACCAGGGTGTGGAAGAAAAACCTGAGGGGGGGGGGTTGTCTAACTCATAACACCAGGGTGGAACACCTAGGATCAGAGTGGCCATGTTGATGATCATGGAGATGATCCGGGGAATCACTGCCTGAAACTGATCTCCTTTCCTCCCCCAGGCAGAAGATGAGAGGAATTACCACATCTTTTACCAGCTCTGTGCTGCTGCCAGTCTCCCCGAGTTTAAAGAGCTCGCTTTAAGTAAGTCACCAGATACACAGCCAGGGTAGCCGCTGGAGCAGGCAGGCAACCCGGAGCTCTGCCCAGAACCCTGGCTTGTGGGTTCTTGTCTCAGCTCTGTCCCTACTGTGGTCCTGTCCTTTAGTCAGAACCTTGCTGCCAGTTAGTAAAGGGTTGAATATATCTAGGCTACCCACAAGGGATGAACTGCAGGTGTGGGAAGTGTGTTTTCCATGACAGTGCAGTTGTTACTTCTTGAAAAGGATGTGTTGTGAGGCTAATAATGGTTCAGTCAAAGGGCTGCCACACAAGCGTGAGCATCTACATTTGGATCCCCAGAAAGCCACTCATGTATCCATGTAGGTAACCCCAGCAGTGGGGAACAGAGAAGTGAATTCCTGAAGTTCTGTGGCCAACCAGTATGCCTAGCTGGAATAGATGTGCTCAGGCTTGGTAAGAGGCCCTGTGTCAAACAATAGGGAAGAGAAGTGAGCGAGGAAGGCACCTGGCACTTGTGAACACTGGCTTCCATGGGTACACACAGACCCACACAAATGTGTATGTATACAACATACACACACAGATTTTTTTGTTGTTAATTTTAAATGAAACAATTTGTTTCTTCTTTCTGCACCATGAGAAATGGGTCCCTTTCAGAAATGATCTAGAGATTTATATAATGTTCATCACTTTGCCAATGTATATTAAGTCATATTTTAGGGTTGAGACAGAAAGGTGGCTAACAGTGATAGCCATGGTGGGAAAGCCTTCAGAACACACATATGAAGGATAAGTCACAGTTAAGACAAGTGAGATTCAGTATGCAAAACTGTAGATCCCTTATGAACAGGCATGGAAGCTTCTTGCATATCCATGATGGAGCACTCACTGGAAGGGAGTGAAGCAGCCAAAAGTGTCTCACAACCACCATGGCCAACACATTTGTCCCTACTAACTGAGTGGGCCCTTCATTTGTTTTCCCCTGAACACATTAGCAAGTCCTCCTTGTTTTGAAGCATTGATAGGGAGACAGGGCAGGCTTTTATTCCTGGCTGTCTTGCATGCAGCATCTCTCCTTGGGATGGAGCTGAGTGGCATCCTGTCCTTGGCCTGTTATCTGTATTTACATCTATATATGGAGAGCCTTGGTTAAAAGATGATGTGAAGAACTGTTTGTCTAGGCAAAGGCTGGTTGGTCTTTGCAGCTCTGATATAAACAGATTTGTGAGGCCCTGTCCCCAAAACTTAGCTATCCTAAGGATCCAGTCCCAGTCCCAGCTGTGTCCCCAATAGCTAAAATCTTTCAAGCGGTATTATAGTCACTGATCTATTGCTGTAAAGAGACACAATGACCACAGCTATTGTTATAAAAGAAAGCATTTAGTTGGGGGCTTGCTTACAGGTTCAGAGGTTTCATCCATGATTATCATGGTAGGGAGCACCATGGCATGCACAGCGCTGAGCATCCTGATCTGCAGGCAGAGAGAGACAGACTCTGGGCGTGACATGAACTTTTGAAACCTGGAAAGCCCATCCACCAGTGACACACTTTCTCCAGCAAGGCCACACCTTCTAATCCTTTTAATCCTTTCAAATAGTGCCACTCCTTGGCGTCTAAGCATTTGAATATATGCACCCTTGGCAGGCAATTCTTTTTCAAACCCTACGTGGTTCCAGGATTTGTTTCCTTCCTGGTAAGTTCCTATGGTGTGTTTTGTGTATATCACATAACATGATTCATTCATGAAACTTGACTGGGACCATGTTGATGTAATATTGAATGACATAGCTGCAGGTTCTACTACCATAGTTTAGCCTGGCAGTTACAGTATGGAATGGTAAGAACCATTTTGCAAGAACCATAGTCTCAAGGTAAAGTGTTCCCTATGAAAAGTCATAGTTTACTTGTAACCCAGAAAGGACACATTGGATGGTACCCACTGTGCTGGTCTATCCTGTTGTACAGTTGCTAGCAAGTCTGATCCTTCCAGGATTACCATAATTTCCCAAGGACAAAGAGTGAGTGTATGCTCGCAGGTAGTCAGTGCAGGTTCTCAGTGGACCTTGTGTGAGCACTGGCCTGACCTGGGGCCTTTTGGGTTGAATTCCAGTTCTTAGTCATAAGTGACTAGATAAGCAGCCACAATGTGGGCCACTGTCATCCTCCTCTTGTCTTCCCAAAATGGGGAATGAAGTTTTTGTGGCTAACCTGCAGAAGCTATTTTTTCTCTAAGATAGGTTTCATGGAGACTCAAATCTGACATGATCCACCTGGCTGGCCACTTGATCCTGAATGGAACCTTAATAGGGAAGTTGTCTAACTTTTTTACTTATGTGAGTTGTATTGAGGTTTAAAGAGACTTTTCCTTATTCGCTGTTTGTGAAAGGTACAGACTCTGGGCTTCTGCCAGAATCCTTGAAAACTACCCAATTCAATCAATTTCTTGCATCTTGGAGTGAAATGAAGGGCCTATGATAAGCCTGTGGTCTTGTGTGCCTATGAGCCCTGAAAGTGGGCTTTTGGTTTCACTGATAACCCTGATAAATAGCAGGAAAAGTCAAAGAAATGAACTAGCCAAAAACTCCAGAGATTCTGTGGACATCGTAATCCTTCTCTTGTTCTTAATCTAAAACACATTATGCAAAAATCTCTGGTGTCCTGGCATGAACTTGTGCAATTGTCTGAAGGTGGAAGGCATGGATTTGTGCCTTGTCATTCATATTTTCCTTCTACCCCACTGTTATTATTTGACCTTGGGAAATTTAGAACAACTCCACTGGAAATTTTGTTAGGGGATAATTGATAGTAAAGTCCCCACCTTCTTTAAATCTATTACTTAGGTGTTAAGGAAGTTCTTCTTCCTTTTCACACTCATGAGTGTGTTGATATAGTTTGATAACAGTTGCTGTAGACTTGCACAGGTCAGAGTACAGCCTCCCCAGATGAGGTCCAAGTTGTGTGAAATAGGCCTTGATGTTTGGTGCTCCAATCAATAGACTGATGGCCTCTTTGTCCTCTGTTGACTTCCTGGGCTGGTGTCTGTCTGGTGAACCAGTTAATAGGCATTTTAGCATTTATTTCTCCTTGTAAATTCTTAGGAGAGGGGCAGAGAGGAGAGAAAGGAGTCATAGCTGAATGATGAGTGAAGGTGTTGTAGGAAGGAAGGATAGTGATGGCTTCTTGGACCTGAATGGAGGAGAACTGAGCTGCAGCCAGCCAGGCAGAGAGGGAAGGACCAACTGTGTGCTGCTGTTGTATGATGACAGCTACTCACTGCAGGCAGGGAGAAGCAGAGGGGGAAGAGATGACCTTGTTGATAGTAGTCAGGTGCTTCGGCAGGTGGCCTCTACAGGCAGTGTCACCTCAGCCTAAGAAACAGCCCAGCTGGTCCTGAGTTTGGGGATGCAGAACAGGAGAGGTGGGTGGGGTGGTCTGTCAGACACAGAACAGCTGCCAGTGGCACAGTCGCTGTTGACAGTGAAGGATCTTTTGAAGATGCTGAATATCGCTTCCCTCTGATGCGGAAGCTAGATGTCCACCTTTGGAATCTCTAGTGACTACGCTATCTTGGCTGGCATTCAGTAATGAGTTGAAAAGAAATCAAAGTCATGGGACACTAAAGATTAATCATCTCTTCAGTGGAATATTCTAGTATCAGGCTCTCCATCCTGGTCATCCCCTGGTAAGCCTGTGTAGCTCCTTAGCATGCTGTGGTCATATTCAGCTTACGTGCTGAAAAGGGGTGAATGTAGTAAGTCATCTTCGGGTGGCACTGGAAAAGTAGCCAGGTAAGCTATTTTTAAAAAGTGAGTGTAAGAGGAAGGATTGCTTTATTAACCTTCTGGATCTATTCTTGCTCAGCACTCTGAGCTTATGGAGTAATCAGCTATGAAAGGGCTAAATATGTTTTGAGTGTGAGTCATAAAAATTCACTTCTGTTGAAGCTCTGAGTGGGTAAAGGACTGACATCCTTTCTCTTCCAGTTCAAGAAGCTTGGCTTCCATTCATCTAAGTGTGTTAAGTTGATGCTCCAGGAAATCTCTCTCAGCACACAGAGGATATTCTATGTATCCCTTTCTTTTTATTCCTATTCAAGTATTGGTCTAGCCTATTAGAATGTGGTTGCATAGTCAACCTGTACGTCAATGCTGAGTTCTGACACTTTGCAGCTGGCCTAGGACTGTTTAGTGTTCAGTTTTCCAGAATTCTTGGCAGACTTCATTGTGGTCTGGAGCACTGATGTTATGTAAGAGCACCAGGGCATGGGTAGAGATGAGAAAATAGAGGTAGTTGGGGACTGTCAACGGCATGACAAAGAGAAGGGCTGATGAGGTACAGCTGTGAGGAGATGGGCATGTGTCAAATACGAAGAGAAGAAAGAAATGAGCCTTGAATTTGGTGGAGTAGAAGGTAGCCATGCCACAAAAGGTTTAGGAAATTGAGCCTTGCCTTGAGAGCAGTCAGACTGTTGAAGGGCTTTGTGTAGGAGAGTGATGTGACCGAAGTTACCAGCTTGGGGTCGGGGGTGTAAGTCAAAATTCAATGTGCACTACTAGGTCTAGGGGGAAAGGATTGGGGGGGGGTGGTTCTGAGGGAAAGTGGAAAAGCAGCCTATGTCTAGGCTTGCCCTCCCATCAAAAGCAAGTGCCATACACACAGAGCTTGAAGTACCAGGCAGGGCTGTCGTCACATTTTGTCAAAGACTTAAGTATTTCCCAAAGGCAACTTTTTAAAAGTTGTGTGTACATGTGTGGGTGTGTGTCAGTGTGTCAGTGCCCACAGACGTCAGAGGCTTCAGATCCCCACAAGTTGGAGCTACAGGAGGTGTTGAGCCTCCTGGCATAGGACATAGATAGGTACTTAGTATCGGACTTCTTTCCTCTACAAAAGCAGTGCATGATCTTAACTGCTGAGCTGTCTCTTCAGTCCCCACCCCCATAATTCTAATTGCAGTCAGTCATGTTCTTCAGTCTGACCTGAGGCCAGCCCCTTCATAAGAGCAGATATTACCATCCTCCAAGTAATGCCATTCCAAGTGCTTGTTGGATGTTTGCCTTTTGCTAAGCTTGTCTACTGCTTGTAAAACATAGCACTAACTCTTCTTTTTTTAACATCTGTTAAGGCTGTCAGAGGCACAGTTGAGGGACAGGGAACCTGGGAGGTGAGAGAACACATAAGGATACCAGCCCTTCCTTGTCCTTAGAGCGGAGTAGCTCCCGTGTGCCCTGACCTTGTAAAAGAGATGAAGCCAAGTCCCTGACACCCTTCATTGTCCCTCATTTGTCAAATGTGGCTGCTAGATGAATATCACCCAAGGCCAGAAGTATGAAATTGTAGAATGTGACTCTATACATTTTCCTTGTATGTTAGGTCCTTTGAAAACTCAACTCTGAACTGAGTGATGCTAACCTGAACTTCCCATGACTTGTCTACCTTACCAACTTGTTTACCATGCTGATTTCATGCACTCACAGCCACACATACTGAGTGCAGTACCTGTTTCTTTATCACTCAGTTTTCTCTCTAGTTTTCCATTGTGGATAAGGGAGTAAACATCCATCTAATACCAAAGAATTGGTGTGAGCTAATATGTTCAGAGCAGACACCCTCATAGCTGGTGGTCTGGGGTAATGAGGAATGGAGATCTCTCTAGTGTCTCACTTCTTCCTGCCTCCCACAGCCTGTGCAGAGGACTTTTTCTATACATCCCATGGAGGAAACACAACCATCGAGGGTGTCAATGATGCAGAGGACTTTGAGAAGACTCGACAAGCCCTCACACTCCTTGGTAAGGACCTGCTGAACAAGAGTAGCCTGCACAGGGTCTGATCCCATGGAGGGGAGGGAAAGAGGGGAGGCCTCCCTGCTTACCTATTAAGTCTGCTGAGCCTTGATGGATGCTTTCTTGTACTCTTACTTCTGTCAGTTCATAGGCTTCAAAGGTTAGAATTTGGAAGCTTTCTTAGAAATAAACTTTGGAGCCAGCAACTGCAAAGTATCCCGCCACTTACTTGGGTGTTGAAACACATGGAGAGAAGCCCAGTGTAGCCATGTCTTTGTGTGCTGACTTCAGAGGCAATGTGTGCCCCAAAAAAGACCCTACCACTGAGCCAGTCACCTGCATACTAGGAATGACCCTCCCACTGAACCAGGCCACCTGTGTACTAGGAAAGACCCTCCCACTGAGCCAGACTAGCCACAGCATATGGGCAAAAGCAGACCTCAGTGTCTGGGAGCCCCATGTTACATGCAGTACTATTGTGCTAGCCATGTATTGCAACCCCAGAAGCAAAAAGTTCTCTGTGACCTTCACTAGCAGATGAACTTGTTAGAGCTGGGGAGAGTTGTCCTAATCCCAGTCTGTTTCAGGGGAGAGGTGCTCCTGGGTTTGTGAGATGAAGGGTGTTTCTCTCCTAATTGGGAAACTAAAGTAGTCAATCCTGGGGCCCTTAGCCAAGCAAAGGGAAGCTTAGGGCAGCCTGAAACTCAGAAGGTGACTCAGATGGCCACAGTGTCTTCCCCAGCTCTTCTCTGATAGAACCAAAGCTTTTGGCTTCTCTGCCAGGTTATTCAGAACAACATCTGTTCAGCTCTGTGGTATAAGCCAAGTTTTGTCAGTGTTCAAGCTAAATGTGAACAAACTGTACACACCCTAGTCTCTATGGGAGGAAATGAAAGGCTTGTGCAATGTGGTTCCAGTGTGGGCACTTGTTTGGGTAGATGAGACATGGGTAGAACTCATTTTTTTGTACCTGTGAGTTATCAGGAGATAGAAAACATTCTGGTTATTCCATCATGAAAACAACATGGTTATACCTAGAGCAACAGTAAGAAACTGTGGAAAGGGCTGAAGTGGCCTTTGAGGACAAAAGAAGTGCTGCTATGGCTGGTGTAAGGAACCAAGCATCCAATGGACTATTGAGTAGAGGAACCAGAGTTGTGGATGAACTTTAGGCCCATCTAGGAAGAGGAGAAGTATACCCAAGGCTAAGGACCAGCACTCTGAACAAGTAGGCTGTGCTTGCTCTGAGAATGATGGGTCCCTACGCCTAATGTGAGCTCAGCAAGGAGGTTGTTGGCCCTTAGGTAAATGGTGACAACTGGGAGGGACCAGACCCAAAATGGAGACAATCTTCTGCTGCCTTTGCGTCACTAAGGTGTCCTTACTTCAGAACCCTGACCCTCTGTCAGTCAGCACCAAGCAATTCACAGAGGGGAAGACAGAGTATATTGATAGCTGCTTCACCAAGCATCACATACCATACAGATCTCCACAGTGAAGGACTTAGGTTATATATGATAGTGAGCAGATGTGTTCTGCCCATTCTGCTTACAGGAGAAACATCCACCATTCTGCAGTGCTGTGGGCAATGGACAATAGTTGGTAGGAACAGATGGATGTCTCCCAAGCTGTGAGGCAGATATTTTTCAAAGCAAATCACATTTGTGAAATTATTTCAACATTACTTGCTTCTCTACAACATAATAAATGTAGTAATCTCAATCTTCCCATTTCCTTCTCATGATTTTCCTTTAGGTATAGGGCTTGCACTGTAGTGTTGGGTCACTTATCATTTGTAGTCACTCATCATAGAATGTTTAGTTTTTGCCTGTTCAGAGGACCCCTTGATTCCTAGTTGGCAATTCTTTTTCTTAGGTCATGCTTGGGCTGTCCACTTTGTGGAGGAGCTGGGGGAAATGTTAACCCTGTCTTTGCCTCCATTTAGACAGGTGCACTGGTTGTTGTAGCCTGAGTAGAGCAGTCTAAAGGATACCTAGGTGTAGCTGTGGAGGAATGTGGGGAACAACTACCATTTCTTCAATAGAAGGCAACTTTACTAACACTCATCATACCGTCCTGTCAACTTTTTAAATAAGTTTGAAATACTTTGAAATTTAAAAAGAATTAAATGCCCTCAAGCTAAATCTAAAATTTAAGAGATATGCCTCTGGTAATTGGTGCAAGCAAATAACAAATCTGATGATCAAGGTTATTGCTGTAGTACTTCTAGGCTGTGAGTGTTTCTGTCACTGTTGAGGTATGTATGGCAAGTCAAACAGCCACCTTCAGCTGGCACTGCCCATAAGCCAGCTGGCTGGCCAGTCCCTGGAACAGTAATCCCAGGGGTGTGGTGGAGGAAACTCCTTTTCTTCCCCTGTTGGCTCCATGGTTGTGTCACAGATGTTTGCAGGATATTAAGTTGGGAAAAAACGACTGCAGATAAACGGCCATCCTTATTAAACTCATAAAAGCACCCATAAAGTGTCTGGTTGAAATGAAGCCCAAAGTGAGTCAGCCCTACTGCTGCCTGTCCATGCTCCTGGATAAGTTCAATGAGAACGTGCCCCATCTGGTGTGACCCAGACAAGCAGAGTGAGGCTATTTCCCTTCCAATAGGAGCCCCTTTGCCCTCTGAGATGCTTCTCTGAGAGGTAATTACTTGGCTTGACTGGTTTGGGGAGCCATTAACCCAGGAAGGAAAATCAAACAATTTTTAAAGTCCTTAAGAAGGATAAAAAGTCCATTCTATCATAGAACAGAGATTGTATGTCATTCATGCATCTTTTTCTCCTTCAGGAGTGCGGGAATCTCATCAAATAAGCATCTTTAAGATAATTGCTTCCATCTTGCACCTTGGAAGTGTGGAGATTCAGTCTGAGCGTGACGGGGATTCCTGCAGCATACCAGTAAGTGACACCAAGATAAAATGTGCATCGTCAACTCAGATTCCCCGGCCTGATACCATGGGCTTAGAGGGCACCCTCTGGTTATTTATTCTGAGCAATAATGACTTCTGTTTTCTCGATGATAATTTTTTTTTTAAAGAACCAATCCAATTTCAAATTAGCTGCCATCAAATTTCTATCACTGGGGCAAGGGATTTAGTGGCTAGTCAATAAATTTGTTTGATGGGTTTATTTTCCAAGTACTCTGAGGTACATAGAATTCTGCACCATGTCATCAATCTATTGAGTACCATGTGAGCCTTAGGCTGAATGAAGTCTTTGCAGCAAGGAAATGGAGTGTTGGACACCATAGTTGGTGACCACTTCTAAAGATCTGGCATTCTAAGTGGCTGAGATGGGATGGCTTGTGCTGACCCTTTCCCACCCCAAGGCAGAATACTGAGTGAGGCATCTCAGTCAAAGGCTTAGCAGCCATGGCAATTCCTTAAAGGCTTACAACAAAGGTCCTTTCCTTTGAGTCTAGTGCCACAGTTGGCATGTGGTAGACAAGAGTGTCTGTGTGGAATAAGGATGCTGGAGGGGGTTTGTGTGGCTGTGTCCTGTCTGCCACTTAATTCTGTTGGCCAGGGCTAAAACTGGCATTCAGACCCTGAATAGGTGCATCTGCCATATTTCCATATGTATGGCTATTCATGACTAGCCTAGAAGAAAGTCCACAGTATGATTCTTACTTCTCAGGATGTGGGATTTAAATAACCAGATTCTAGGAAAAGTCCAAAGAGGTGCCCGTGCCACAAGCCAAAGCCTTTGCCCTTCCCACTTATTGCTACAGCTATTGTATAGGACTAGAGTTAGCAGAAGTTCAGAATGCCCCTGCCTTTAAGGAGGAAAAGACCTGAATTCTACCTGAGTTCAATAGAATTCCTCCCCAACCTCCACTCGAGCCCTATATGTTGTCCTTAAGTGAGAAATGTTGTTGGGAGTGAGGTGGTGTCTGGGCCTATCACCCTCTCCAGCATGAACTCTGTAGCTTCTGTAGCTCTGAGAGGAGGTTTTGGAACTTGTAGTATCCCAGAGTGATTTCTGACATCTGACATTCACAACCTGCCTTGCATGTGTGTACTGTGGGGTGGGTGGAAACTGCAGTGCAGTGGCAATGGCAGCCATGATGCTTGGCTAGCAAGTGGACAGTTCCAATGTCTGTGGCCCAGCTGGTGAGTGCAGGCCCAGACCCACCCTAGTAGTGAGGGTTTGAGGCTGGTGAAGAATTGGCCCTCTGGGGTCTTTGCCATAGGGGTCTAAGCCTCCCATATGCACATCCCTTCCTGGCAAATGCCATGTGTATCTTTAGGGCAGCTGAATTCTGCAAGGAACCAAGAAGATTGGAAAGAAAAATATGCATTGACATAGCTCTGGTTTAGGCTGATGATAAGCAATTTTGGTGTGTGTGTGTATGTGTTGCTAGGGATCAAGGTTTAGGTTCCTCCACATGAGCTCTCCACCTGAGCTACATGCACAGCTTCTTTGCTATGGATTCTCACACTATGCCAAGCCTACCCTCTTCCCCTTAGCACAATGATTTTTCATTCCTTGTGTGATTATTTTCTCTCTGTCTCTTTCTCTCTCTCCTCCCCCTCTTTCAAACTGTTGAAGTTGACAAATCTACTTGTTCTGAGTCACCTTTGCAATGTACAGGGCCCAGGAGGCACTCCAGAATGATAGCTGGGTGACTTGTTGAGATTGAGTAGGCCATGATGGTAATGAAAATGAGAGCTAGTGTGGCTGAGACAGAACTCAGTGAGCCATCAGTAAGGGAGTAAGGCCCTGAGCACTTGTCCTGGATATGAGTCAGGGCTGGTACCTTCTTTGGAATGTCCAGCCTTGGGCTTGTAAGCAGTTTCTCTGATATTATGACTAGTCCTACACTCCTGGGTATTCCTATGAGAGGCAAGTCATTGATCAGTGCCCATCATCACCACTAACTGTAGGACCATGTCTGTTATGTCACTATTCTTCTGGATACATAGTAGCACCATGTATTTGTGAGGTCTGCATAAAGATGGGGCCATCAGGATACACTCAGAGAAAAATGGACAGAGGATGCAGGTGGCAGACAAAGTGAACTGAATTGGGGAACTTATGAGGTCTATCAGGTATGTGTCTTAGAGATGCTCACTCACCTCCCTGTGTCCATTTTCTCCTCTACACACTGAGTGGAGGCCGAATGCAGCCCCTTATGGAGGCCTTCATCACTCCAGGCTGATCTTGATTAAGTTCAGTACCATTTTGATTGATTGAGCCAGAATGAACCATTTCTAGAGCATGACTCTCTTCCTATACAGAGGAACAAACTAAGTAAATCCCAGAGACAGGGCCCTCTTTCATAAAGGACAGAATAACTAATGCTCATGCCAGGACAAAGCCCAAGCAGGGTTCTTTCTAGTACCACTTCTTCTCACTCAAATTTTTGACCTAGTGACCTGAGCCACCCATACAAACTTCCAGTGACCCATTATTGCTTATTGGAGAAGTATGCCACTGAGAAGCACATTAGGATGGATCTTTGATATGTTCCTCTGGTCCATAGGTAGGTTTGCTGTCTACTTATAAGCAATGTGCCTTCTGTCTGTAGTTTTTATTAGAACGTGTTCCATGATTGCCAGTGTTACCTTAGAGATGCAACAGTGTCCAATTACTTGGACACCAGAGGCAATTTTTCCCTCTTGAATTTGGCAATACAGGCTCATAAAACTAACTTGCTGTCTATAATGCTGACTGTTTTAATGGATTTATCATCATCTAATTATGCATAAATGTAATTGTATGATGTTAAGTCGGTTTCTGTTAACACCTTTAATCAACAGTCAGAAGTGTGTGGGAGCAGAGAAGTCCCCACTGTGCTGGAGACCTGTCCCCTGGTGGCTGTTAAAGAGTTAGCTCCCAAACTGTGGTGTCTCTGCCACATTCTGGAGTGGGGGTGCCTGGGAGCTGGTCCATGTTGTTTGCTTCAGGCAAACCACTCATTCAAATGTCAGGGGATCCATCTGTACTGTGTGCCTAGCAATTAAGAATTCCTTAAAAATTAGGTCAGATGAACAAATTGGACACTTGCCACATGTGAACTTGTTGCCTGCCAAGCAGGTTCCAAATTCTACCCTGAATGGTAACATTATTTTGGAGCAGGCAGGGGTAGAGTGGTTGCAGAGTGAAAGCTGTGGCCAGAAGTTGCCTTGATTCTGCCATTAACTGCTTAGTGAGTGTGAAGGGCAGCTCTCTACACCCCAAGCCATGCCTGCTCAAGCTGCCTGCCTGGCTTGATGGTCAGGGAGCCTCACTCAGACACATTTTCCTCATCTGACCCCAGAGAAATGAGGACCTTAGTCCACAGGAGTGGGCATGTTCTTTTACATGCCTGCCTTTTGATACTCATGAGCTCAGCTGTGTTTAACCTGGTATAACACTGGTTAGAGCTCTCTCCAGGGTGTGTTCCCACCCATGCTTGGGGAACACACTGTTCTTGAGTTTGTGGGGAGGAGCTTTCTTTTCTAACATCCCATTTTATATTAATGTTTGCTTTGGCTAGATGGCTAGATACTGCAAGGGATAAATAGCCAGAAGATATAATGTTAAGAGGGAAATGATAGTGTTGTCTGTGTTAATTTTTTTTAATTGAATAAGCCCTTATTTAAATCCTACAGTTGGCCTCATCAGAAATTGAGACCCATAAACAGTCTAGATCCAGAAGGAGGTAACATATCATGTTATGAATTTAAAAGATTCCCTTCCTGCCTTAGTGTTAATAAGCTGGCTTAGCCACTTTGCCAAGTACAGCAAGATGAGGGTCTAAAAAACCACCAGGGGTGATGGTTTTCTGTGGGGTTTTTCCAAGAGACTTAGATGATTTAATGAGGTGAGGCACAGCCCTAGAGAGGAGGGGTTTGATTTCCTAACAGTTTACAAGCCAGGCGGTGTGACTGGTAAACACTGCTGAGAAGCACTGTCCCCTAGGTCTGGACTTGTTTCTACCAGCACTTCTGAACACACCCACTAGAGTCACATATGATTTAGAGGACTGGAGTGTAAAACACCAGGGTGCTTCCCATGTCCTGTCTACCTGTAGGACAGTTACCAGTTGGGTCCCTGTCACAGAAGGGGAACTGAAGCCTGAGGGCAGGAGACCGTTGAATGTCCCTCAGCCCTAGAGCGTGTGTGTGAAGGGCTTAGGGTGGGAGGCTGAGCACTGCTTTTCTGGAGTGCTATGGGTGCTGCATGTGCCCTCTACAGATGCATGCTATATGCTTAACTCATGTCTTCTGCTTTCTGACCCCTGCCAGGAGACTGCCTCTGCATTACTAAGCTGTCAGTTCACAGGCTTCTCCCTTCAGTCCCGCTGTCCCCTCCTACCAGTTACCTGGCTGTAACCTGCAGTTCAGGAAGGCACAGGACCAATGCACAGTGACTTACTTTAAGTCTCTGTCATTTGGTCATTGGCAGGTGTGATGATAAGTTTAAGCAACAGCACCTAGGCTCTATACTTACCTGATATGGGCCATGGGGAACTAAACTACTGAGGTGGAGGACAGGTTCCATGCCTGCCAGGATACTCTTGGGCTCTGGGCAGGAGGGAAAATGGGCAAAGCATCCTGTCTCCCATCCCCCTCCTGATCCTGTCTTCTTTCCTCAGCCTCAGGATGAACATTTGAGCAACTTCTGCCGCCTGCTGGGAGTGGAACACAGTCAGATGGAGCACTGGTTGTGCCACCGCAAGCTGGTCACCACCTCAGAGACCTACATCAAGACCATGTCCCTGCAGCAGGTGGTCAATGCCCGGAACGCCCTGGCCAAGCACATCTATGCCCAGCTATTCTCCTGGATCGTGGAGCACATCAATAAGGCCCTGCACTCATCCCTGAAGCAGCACTCCTTCATCGGGGTCCTGGACATCTACGGGTAGGCTTGCACTCCCTGGTCTCACTCTGTCTGCTGGTCATCAGTGTGTCCCTGCTAGCGTTTAGGAGTCTACAACCTCTTTGGCTCCCTAGTGGTTCCAGCCAGCAGGTGCAGGGACATTTGGGGCTGTTATAACTAGAGTCATTGTTTACCCCAAAGCAGAGATGCCTACTGTTCTACAGGTGACAGTTCCCAAGGGAGAATGTGCTCTGTCAAAGCAATGATAGCCCTGTGCCCATCACAAACTCTATTACACCATTTTTCTTAAGATGGAGACTTATTATGTGGCCTAGACTGGCTTCAAACTTGGAATCCTTCTGCCTCAGCTTCCCAGGTACAGGGATTCTGACTGTATTTTGCCAGGGTCATATTAGACCTCCAGTTTTACTACTAGGAAACTGACTCTGAGAGAGAAATGCCTTGTCTATTCTCATTGTAGGAGTCTCTCTCAGTTTTTATATATGTTAGGTCTTACCATTTGATCTCACTCTCTTCAATGGAGGTGGTTGTTTTAATAGTAATTTTGCCCAGTTCTGCATAGACTAGTGCTATATGTTAGCATTTGTGAGGATTGCCTTTCTTTTGGAATCTAGGGGGAACTGACAGGTTTTATTTATGACTTATCTCTGCAGGGTGAGGCCACATAGCTTGGAGGTAAGTATGTATGACAAGACAGCAAGAGACTGACTTTCTCTAGCCAGGCTGCCACCAAGAGCTAAATGACTACAGTCATAACCCCTCTGGCTGTTTCTATGGCTTCAAGTGAGGTTGTGAGTCAGTCTTCCTGAGATTATTTCAGACCCATCTAGACGCATGATGGTTTGTGGACAGGGCTGTATCCCCCTTTGCTCTTCGTTTCTCATGGCTGCCTTGACCTTTTGAAGCTAAGAATAGATTAAATTCTCCTAGAAGGAATGCTTCTGCTTAAAATAGCAGCCCAGACCATAAATTGCAGTGTTGTAAGAACAGGGACACTCTAGGGGTTGGAACTACTGGGACCACCTGAGGATGGCACAAAGGAGAATCTTCTTCAAAGAGACCATTTCCTGTGCAGATAGGCTCCCCCACCTCCCGCTGGTGCCTTGGCTTGTCGGTGGCCCATATTGCATGGGGCTTAAGAAAAGAGTTAAGTTTTATTCTGGGATCACAAAGACCTCAGGAGCATGCTGAAGAGTTAAGTCTTTTGCACAAAGTAAATAATGCAAGAACCCTTAGAGACTGTAAAACAGTCCACACAATGGTTTAGATGCTTTGTGATGGAGGCCTAAGATGAAAACCAGAGAAGCCATACATTTTTATACAGGCATGAAAAATTTTCTGCAGGAGTCAAGATGTGAACTAGATGGAGGAGGATAGAACATGGGAAGTAGGAGAGGCAACCATTGGGAAAAGAAGTACAGTCAAGGTGGTAGAAAACACCCAAGGTGTCAGAGCTGGAGGGGTGATTTTGTAATTAAGAGCACATGTTGCTCTTGCAAAGGACCTGGGTTCAGTTCCCAGAACCTATATGGTGGTTTACACATCTGTAACTCCAGTTTGAGAGGGTTCCAATGCCTTAACTGGATCCAATGTCTTCTTCTAACTTCTGTGGCTACCAGGCCTGCAACCAGGCAAAACACTCATACACATAAATTCAGATAAATTTTAAAAACTTAAACGTGAAAAGAAGTCATATGCTTGATGAAGAAAAAACAGAAGTGGGAGGTGCATCCTCCCCATGGCTTCTCGATGTAACCGCCCCCCCCCTCTGGTTAGCAGGGCACATACTTCTACTCAGTCTTCCTGTTGCATTGTGAGAGCACCTCATTCCTACAGAACTTATTGCCTAACTGTCAATAACCGATTCTTACTTTCCCTCCACCTTGAGTATTTTCAGGTCATCAGATTTCAGGTGGTGCCACTCCCTGGGCTGGAATCCTGGACTGTAATTAAAAGGAAAGAGTGGATTGAGGACAAGCATTTATTGCTCTGTGCTTGATTGTAAGATGTAGTATGACCACCTGCTCCATGCTCCAGATGCTGTGACTTCCTTCAACCAGTGACTGTAACCTCCAACTATGAGCCCCAAACCCCTTTCTTCCTAAGTTGCTTTCATTGGGGTATTTTATTGCAGTTACAGAAAAACAGTAAAGACAGGTTGGATCAGATGTTATAACCCAGTGTCTCCAGGTCTTCTTTCAAGCATGGCCCTAAAGGTCAGCCCTAAATCTCAGTGGAATAGAGCTGGCCAGAGTTCTGAACTATGGAGGTGCTGCTTCATTTTATGTTAATCTGTAAATGTAAGCATTTCCACAGATCAGGATACAAGCGAGCACCATGGGGGCCAGCACCACGCTACATATCCATGCACTGACTGTCAGGTTGCTTGTGGAGGAGAAAAAGTTGCAGCTGCCTCTAGAAATCTGTGGGAGCCTGCTACCCACTGGGCTCTCTACAGGCATTTTGAGTAGACCAGTTCCAGACACACAGTGCCTGGTTATAAGAATGGCTTCACTTTCTTTAGCTCCCTTTTCTATTCTCCAAAATAGTGCAAGATAAGCAATGCCCAGAGAAATTGTGCCAATCCAAGCTGTTCTAACTAAGGACCTGTGAAACTCCCTGTGGGATGTTTCCTGCCAGGCAGGGCTGGACATTGATATAGAACAGCCTGGCAGCTTTTGGCTGGAGTTTCTTTGCACGTTGATTAGCTAGCATTGGCCTCTACTGGCTTCATTAGTTACAATGGTAATCTTTTATTCCTCCTTGAGGCATCAAGAAATAAATGGCTCAATTTGGGGGAAATACACACTATTATTTTTTTGTCTTTGACTTCAACTTTCAAATGCCAAGGTTTGGTTCCAGCCAGTCCATTTGTGCAGAGGACAATGAAGGGTGCAGTAGGTAAGCACATTACTCTGAGAAATACTGTAGGAGAGGCTGAAGTAAGAAGTAGGGCAGTTGTGGGATGAAGGATATGGGATTTGCTGTCTATTTTGGTTTTTTTTTTTTTTGTTTGTTTGTTGTTGTTTTTTTGTCTGCAGCTATGATAAAATATTCTAACAAAACCAACAAAACAGAAAGTGTGTTTGTCTTAGCTCACAATTCAAAGTCAAGCCAACCATGGTAGAAGTCATGGCAGCAGGTTGAAGTGTCTCATCTCATGTATCCACAATCCAGAAACAAGTATGAATGCCAGTGTTCATTAGGATTCTCTGTACAGTCCAGGATCCTTTAGTGTTTGCTTTGGGGTTTCAGGAACTTAGTGCATATCTGAACATTAATCTCTTAGTGGAGGTGAATTTACATGTCCTCCATTTCTACTCTGTAGACTCACTGTCCTGTATTTGTAAGTTTATTTCTTAGATTTACCATTGCCTTCATTTGCTGTTGAAAGAAAATCTTTGTGTCATTGGTTTGTTTTGCTTTTGGTTTCACTCTCCAGAGCAGATAATTGCACAGTCCCAGAATAGTTACTCAGAGAGACTGCCCAGCCTCTCCTGACCTGTGTAAAGGGGTGTTGTGGAGAATGAAGGGGGCAAACTCTGCAATTACATTTACCCATTGGCCTGAGGACAGCATCCCAGTTCTTGGTGGACTGGAAGGCCACAGGACATTGTCAACTCCAGAGCAAGCATGGCCAGATAACCTCAGTGTTAGACTCACAGGCCATGTGATGCTTTTATGTTGGTAATATATTATCTTGACATCTGAAGAGAGGTTTCCATCCTGGGGTAATCCAAAACCATGTGCAATCTTCAAGACTCATTCAGGGTGTCCAGCCTTTTGACATTGCAAAACAATGCTATCATCTACAGAGTTCATCTGGGGAGCCAGAGATGGAGGATCCTTGGGGATTGCTGCTCAAATGGGCTAGCAGAACCAGTGAGCTCCAGGTTCAATGAGAGAGACTATCTCAAAATCAAGGTGAAAATGTGATTGAGGAGGACCACTGACACTGGCCACTGGCCTCTACATCCACATACACATGTGTGTGCTCACCCTTATACATGTATACCCATCCCTGCACACACATAAACACATACACAGAAGTCACAAAACAGTGTTTTAAGATAGTTTATGATTTTATATTAGGGGTTCTAGTCACAGCAATCTATGGCCACACGTGACCCATGGGCTGGGCATAGTTGATGGTCACTTGGAATATGAACCCTCCATAATTGAAGGCTCATATGAAGCCCCATTTTTCCTCTGTCTATATTTAACCACCTTGATACTGTAACCTCACCTCTAAAAGCCTAGAGAAGATGAAGTTAGTATTCCCTTGTGTTAGGGTTTCTATTGTTGTGAGGAGACACCATGACCACAGCAACTCGTATAAAGAAAAACATTTGATTGGAGTGGCTCACTTACAGTTCAGAGATTCATTCCATTATTGTCATGATAGGACATGGCAATGTGCAGGCAGACATGGTGCTGGAGAAGTAGCTGAGAATCCTAACTCTTGCAGACAACAGGAAGTGGTCTGAGTATCACACTGAGTGAAGCTTTAGCATATTTAAGACCTCAAAACCCACCTCCACAGTGACATATTACTCCAACAAGGCCATTCCTTCTCCAACAAAGCCACACCTCTCAATAGTGCCAGTCCCTTTGGGGGTCATTTTCTCTCAAACTGTCACACCCCTGAAAGGTTCTCATGTACTGAAATAGCTTATAGGCAGCTTTCTAGTAGTAAACTGGGGAAGAGGGATCATGGCTTGCTATTCATTGCAGTTCTTAGAAGTTTGGCTCTTGGATTTGGAGAAGTATAGTACCTGAGAATGGGCATTTTCTGATCCCCATGGAAATAAGGTGTGAAAAGCACCGAGGAATTAAGATACTGGCAGAGTACTTGTCTTCCATCAGTGCCTTGGACCTGTTTCTCACAGAAGGACAAGCTTTGTGGACAGAATATACACAAGCACAGGGACAGTGGGAATCTCTGCCACTTGAAAGTCCAATGCGCAGAATGAGAATGGTTGATAGACAAGAAGACTTTAGGCTGCCCTTGTGAGAGTTCATGGCTTCAGGGTGAGAAAGGACCTGGAAAAGATATTTGGCTCTGATCTCTGGCATCCATGCTTACTGACTCTTTTTGAAAGTTCATCCAGAACTAATCTCTCCAAGGTCAGCTTCCTGGGTGCTGTTCAGCTGTTCAGTGTGTAAAGCCCATATACACCTCTTTACATTCTGCTATGGAAGCCTAAGGTCCTAGTTGCCCCGACCCACACTCAGAGGAGATGCTGTTGCCCAGCCTTCAAGCAGCAGGCATCACTCTGCTGGGTCTCCTTTCTGTGGGGCAGCAGGTTCATGGAGGTAAATAATTCAGAGCTAAGGCATAGCCTTGTCACTGCAAGTTCATCTTGTAGTGGCTTTTGTTGTGTTTTTGGAGGCAAATAGCTCTCATCCTTCCTGAAACTGGGTCCAATGAGAAGGAAATTGTTCATTGCTCTGGTCACATCTTTATTGCAGAAGGAAACAACGGTATGGTCATTGCACTATCAAAGGACAGATGCCATATCTCCTTCTCTGTGTTCTCCTTCTTCCCACCAAAGAGTTCTGATCTAACTCTTCTCAAGACAAATCCATTTCCCTCCTGTATATAAATGTTCTTGTGACATTTTAATGTTATGGAGTAAGTGTGTTTATTTTTAAGAGTCATTTCTGTTGATGGACAGAATTATACAAATATAATTCTGTTGGAAGGGAGACATTGTCCTGTCTCCCTGACTGTGTGTTTCTGAAGTTGGGTGTCTTAGTCATTTTCCAAGTCAGCCTAGCCTCCCATTTGTCTCCAGCATTACAGTAATTATGCTAGAAGGCAGAGGAATTGTGACCAGATAGTATCTTAGAAACAGGGAAATTATGAGCTAATTTCAGCCATCTCAAATTAATGAGAATGTTCTTTGTGGAGTGCTACCAGTGTAAACCTGTAAAAAATGACAAGTGGAAGATACTTAAATCCTCTATCTGTAGAGCTCAGGGCTGGCTCTGCCAGCATACCCGATGGCCATTATCTGGCCATTTTCAGGGCTGACTCTTTAATCTTCTTTTTAGGCTATGTTAATTACATTTCCTCTAGGTTTGAACAGTCATCAGCTACCACTGTGGGTGGAAGTGGGGATGGCTGAGGTTCTAAGTGATATAACTGGATCTACAGAAGGGCTATCTGGAAAAGGAGAGGCCATTCTACAGGGTAATAACTGCTGCTTGTGCCGCACTGTGATGGAGCAGTGACTCATCATAGCATTTAAGTCTTTGATCTTGTTTTATTAACTTGGAGTCATTTTTTTCCCATGTGGGCATGGCCAAAGGCTGTACTTTAATGTGGCTGACTCCAAGAAGTTGATCCTTTTGATCTGAAACTGATTCTCCCTTTTCCACATCTTAGACCTTGCTGGGGAGGAGGCTATGGGGGAAGCCTGGGGCTTTTTGCACAGTGCTCTGGGCCTGTTAGGCGTCTGGTGAATCTATATTTGGTAGTCCCTCTACACAGAGAGCTCTCTCCCCATTGCTGTATCTCCAGCTCCTCTTTAGGGACAGGACTGTCACCTCTTCCTGAAAGCAGTGTTCAGGGAAGGGCTTGCAATGACACCTTGCGTAAGACAGAAAATTCAGTTGTCTCTATTTAAGAGTGGGACGGGGTGGAACTTATGGGTTGTGAAGAAGGCCAGATGAGGCCTGTAATTCCAACCTGTTCCTGTTGGTAGTATCATTCTCCAGGCCTCAGATACCCCTCCTTCCAAAAAACAAAAACAAAAAACAAAACAAAAAAACACTGTTCACAGCCCTTCCAGGTGATCTCTTCCTTTTAAATTAAAGTTTGGCCCCTCTCTCTGGTCAGAAGACACTTTGGTCTTCTTACACTCTGACTTTGGGTAGTTCATTTTCTCATACATGAGCTTCTCAGCTGTAGAGTGGAATTAATAAGAGACCTCACTCCTACTTGTTGTGAGCATTAAAGGAACCTCCCACCCCAAGCCAGTGACCAGTAGGTGCTTGTGCTGGCCAGTGTTATATCAATTTGGCATAGGCTAGAGTCACCTGAATGGAGGGAACCTTCCCCCATACACCCTTCCAATGCCCCTAATGGTGGACCTCTCTGAGCATCCTATAGGTCACCTGCAATTATCTAGTCCCGCCCTTCCTTAATGTTTTAGAACTTGTTACTTGCCACCAATAGACATCAGGCCCTAGTAGGGGTTTTTGCCTGTCCTCCTCCCTTGCTTAGCCTTATCTTTCTCCTATTTAGGGATCACATATAATAGTCATTTCTTAATTAGAATCTTCCAGAATCCCCTACTGACCCCAGAAAAATCCAAACCTTAAATAGTATAATTTACAAGCCCTGTAGGCAGGGCCCTCCTCTTTCTGCTGCTCCAAATCTCTTCTCCCTTGCCCTCTCCTCTTCTCTCCTTCCCTGTTCTCCTCCCCACAGGCTTCCTTCCTTAACCCCATCCCTCAGCCATATTGCAAATGTGTGGGCTGAACAATGAAGTACTGATATTCTAAAGTATGGACAGGTCATATGAGTCCATGTTGGGGACTATAACCTAACAAAGCTACAGAGGTTTCCAGACAGTTCTTCAAGTATAAGTGATTCAGAGAAGAAATGTTGAACCCCCTTGATTATCAAAAGAATTCAAAGGCATCTTTACACCAAGTAACAAGAAATTTAAAAAATTGTTTGAGAATTTCCTTCATGAATATAGTGCATTTTGTTCATCAATCTCTATCCTCTTTTGCTTCCATCCAGATCCTCTCCTAACCCACCACCACTTTTCCTTTCCGACTTCATAGGTGCTTCCCCTGATCCTCCGGATCCACCTGTGTTCTCATGGGTGCATGGCCTTATAGTGAGGCATGGGTAGGCTCTCAGGGTTCACATCCCTGAAGAAAAGTGACTTTCTGTCTTCTAACATCAGTTGCCAATAACTCTTTGGCTAGGTGTGGGACTTCATGGACCCCTCCCCCATCCATGCTAGCTTGAGCCTATACAGCAGAGGTTCTCAATCTGTGGCTCACAGCCCCTTTGGGGGCTCAGTCACCCTTTCACAGGTGATTTCATAAGAACATCAGAAAACAAAGATATTTACATTACTAGTCATAATATTAGCAAAATTACAGTTATGAAGTAGCAGCAAAAATAATGTTATGGTTGGGGGTCACCACACCATAAAGAACTGTACTAAAGGATTGCAGCATTACAAAGGCTGAGAACCACTTCTATACAAGTTTATGCAAGCTCTCACAGCTGCTGTAAGTTCATTTGTGCAATGGTACTGTCAAGTCTCACAAATACTGCCTGTACTTCTGGCTCTTAGAGTTTTCCCACAGTCTCTTCTGAGATGGCTCCCTGAGTCTTGGGGTTAGAAGGAGGGTATGATGTAGATGTCCCAGTTAGAGATGGGTCTCCTGTTTTCTTTGGGTTGGTCAAGTGTGGGTCCTTATTAAATGCAACCTACTGCAAAAAGAACCTTCTCTAGCTAGGTCTGAGAGATTTGCTAATTTGTGAGTATAAAGATGTGATCTTAGAGGGAAGTTTATTAGTATGTCTATTTAGCAGAATTAATGGTATTAGGTTTTCTCCTAGGTCCTATGACCTAGACAGCCACTAGTTTGAAGCCCAGTTAATGGTATAAGACATGAGTTCCATCTTGTGGAGTGGGCTTTAAATCACACCATATTTTTTTTAACCAACAGATATGGTAATACTCCTAGTGAGGTGTGGGGATGGAGTAGAATGACCTAAATAGAACACAGTAGGTTTTATGTATTAAAAACATTTATCTGCGAAAGTTGCTTATCTGTGTCTCTGCAATACATTATACATGACATTTGTAAAAATGCATTGCAATATTGAAACATTGTATTCATTGGTATACTTAACTCAATAAAAATATGTTAAAAATATAACACCGTTGACTGGTGTTAAAATAACACTCATTTATAGCAAGGACGAGGGTAGAAAAATAAGAAATTACTTCTACATTTCTGGGTATGTGCTTGTTTCTCCCTTTCACAAAACAGTGCTCTGGAGACTGGGGAGATGGATTAGTGGGCCATAATCTTTGCTGTGCAAGCAGGAGGACCTGAGTTAAAATCCCTAGCACTTATATAAAAAGCAGGGCATGGCTACATGAGCAACTATAACCCCAACATTTTGGGACTAGAAACAGGATTGCTGGAATTTGCTGGCCACCAACCTGAGCTCCAGGTTCAGTGAGAGAATTTTTTAAGGGAATAAGGTAGAGAAGTGGTAGGAACAAAACAGCTCTTCTAGCCTCTTCATATATGCACAGATGCATGGACATACATAAACACCTGCACATAACATACACATTGCATACAACACACCCACACACATACACACATGTTTTTTGACTTGGTTCTTCTCCTAGGATAATATTGTCATGAAAGAATCATGAACTTGAAGAGATCTGTAAAATGGTCACAACACTGATAGCATCATAGGATGGGAAAGAACCAAACACCCTTCATGGGGGATTGGCACATCTGTGTGCCAGCTCCCAGGTGCGTCTGTAAATTGGGGGATGTGTCCTAGGCTTGAGAAGTAGCAACATACCTGTGTTCTGTCTGCCCCAATCCAGACACCTCTGCATTCCCAGGTATCAGCCCACAGATCCATACAGACCCAAAGAATAGTGCAGTGATGTGTTTGGAGTGGAAGTTAAATAGTAAAAACAGGAGTAAAGTATGTGTTTGTTTTTCTTTTATAAAAATCACCAAGAAAAGACCTACTGCTATGGAAGAGAATCATGGCTGACCTTCTCATTTCTGTCTGTCTTCCCTGTAATTTCCTACTGTCAGTCCTTTATCAGTTATAAACAAAGCTGTCTATGTCCTGCTTCTAATTTCCCAAGACTGCAGCATTGATGAGCCACAACAGAAGTCTGTGTGCATAGGGAAGACATAAAGAGGAAGGCAGCTCTGTTGAATCTCAGTGACTGCTTCCATGGATGGTATATCTTACCTGCGGCTTCACTCTTTCCTTTGCAGGTTTGAGACCTTCGAGATTAACAGCTTCGAACAGTTTTGTATCAACTATGCCAATGAAAAGCTCCAGCAACAGTTCAATTCGGTAGGCTTGATGTATGACCTAGGTTGACAGGGCAGGGGCTCGCCATCCCCCTGGCATGACACCCAGGCCACTTCTCTTCTGAGATTGGTGTATTTCTGCTCTGCCTGGACCTCCCTTTCTTCCTGGTGATGCTCCTAACTTTTTGAATTGGCTTTTCATTGCCGGGGAGGAAATGTGACTTAGGCAGCTTGGGGAGAGGGTAAAAGGTCTCCCTTGATTTACCCACTTCTCTCTGAGCCCAAGCTCTCAGGGCGTTTAAGGAACTGGAGGCCAGATACAGGATTCCTTTAACTGGCTGGAGTCCAACAATGCATGTGGGATTATAATATCCTAAGACAAGGGTTGCAAAGGAATGGGAATTACCAAGCTGAGCTCTGCCGTTTCCACTCTAACTGTGAGTTAGACCTTTTCTGACAGGTACCTGCCATCCAAGACAAAGAACTTTACAAGTGCTTGGGGAGATGACTGCCAAGTGTGTCTGTAATGCACTCACCCTGGCTTTTTGCTTCTTGCCTTAGCATGTATTCAAGCTGGAGCAAGAAGAATACATGAAGGAGCAGATCCCATGGACCTTGATTGACTTTTATGATAATCAACCTTGTATAGACCTCATAGAAGCAAAGCTGGGTATCCTTGACCTGTTGGATGAAGAGTGTAAGGTAATACTTCTGTTGTCATTGAGTGGTTCAGGTCTAGGTATTGGGCAGAGGGCTCCTATGTGATGCAAGGGAACAAATGAAATCTCATAGCTGGAATTGAATCTGATTGTCTGGAAGGAGTATTGGTTGTCCATCATGCTTACTAAACTTTAACCCACTGAATGTAACTAGCAGATAATATTCTCCTAGTAAATAGTGGCAGAAAGTGGGTGCTTGCTATGTTGGTGGTATGGATTTGGTCTCTCACAGCCAACATCTAGACAGGTGTTCCTAGGGTGGTCTTTATAGTATCAGATGGCTGTGATGATGGGAATCCACAGGACAGTGAGAACCACATCTACAAACCCCTGAATTTTGTGGACTTCTCCTAATATAAAATAGAACTGTGCCAACAGCAGTTGACAGTCACTCCCACTGTGGTGCCTGATTGGGAAGGGAGATGAATGTGTAGCAATTGGTCCCTTTGGTGATAGAAGCCTGCCTCAGAAGGTGTGGAAGCCATACGGCTTATTCTAGACAGAGAAGAACCAATTGCTTTGATTTCTGTTCTCCCATAATTTTCTGGAAAAACACTGAGTATGGCTGGGTGTTTAGGGAAGGAAAGGCATACTACTTCTAGAATGGTTTTCTGAAACATTGCCTTGGTGCACATCCATAGTCCCAGCACTCAGCGTGTTGAAGTAAGAGGATCACTCAAGTGTAAGACTAGCCTAGACTAAAAAGTGAGTTCAAAGCTAGCCTGTGCTATCTATTGGGTCCCTGTCTCAACAAACACACAAAAACCTCTCCCCACCCCTAAAAAAAAAAAAAAAAAAAAAAAAAGGTAGAAACATACCAAATCCTGTAATCCTGTAGCTGGCATATGTGTATCAATTTTGAGGTTGGCAGTGAGGAATTGAGGGGCAGAGTCTCACTCTACACCCCAGAATGGCCTAGAACTCTCTGAGTATGGTGATATGGAGACAAGTGAGTTTGATATGGTAAAAATGTGTTGAATGGGGAGTTATAGGAGAGGTGGATCTTAGTCAGAAAATTTGTATACACGTGACCTTTATCACTGGTCTCTGACTGTTCATGTCCATCTAAATTAGTGACTGTATCGGATCATAGGATTTTCTCACTGAAGTTCAAGTGTATTTTCAAGGCAAGATGACTTGGTTGCTAGCAGATGGCAGCATTTACTTCGTGGAGCTTCTCTTTGTGGTTTGGTGTGACCCAGTTGGGCCAGTCCCTTGAGTTCCTTTTTGCTCCTAGTTACTGTCCTGACAAGCCCTGCTATGTGCTGACTCCTCCTTCACCTACACCTGGTAGTTCTAAAACAGAACTCTAGCAGACAAATATAAAGGATTATTTATAGAAAGTGCTGAATTAAATGTATTTTATTGTCTGTCCAACACAATTAATAGCCTCCTTCAAGAAAGAGGTTTCTTTCTCTGAATTTCCTATGGCACATGGCTCAGGGGATTCAATACTAGTTTCACCAAATTGAATGTGGAGAAAAAAACGGTTTGCTTGCAAAGGGCCTAAGAACTTTGTTTCCACATCTGTAAGCATTTCTTTAGGAACACATCTTATTTACTGAGTAAAGCCCTTTTCTAATTGGCCACTATAAGGGTCACTTCCAATCTTGCCTGACCTGAAAGCCTGGCATAACTCATAGGGAGTAGGTGAGGGTCTGCAGCTGAGGACTGTCAGTGAGTGTCAAGGGTAACAGAACGAGTGATGTCTTATTGGATACGCCACTGCCATCGCTGACCATTCAAACAGCAGGCACAATGACTATGTTGTATTTTTCCTACCCCATTATTGTCCTCTCTCATTCCCTCCCCATCTCTCTCCCCACTCCCCAAAACCCTTCTTCTTCCAACAGGTCCCTCCTACTTCGTTGTCTTTGTTCTTTCTTTTAACCTAATGAACCCAGTGCTGCCTGTATGGCTGAGTATCTATGTTTGTGTGTGTTTGTTTGGGGGTGTGTGCTATTTGACTGGAACATGGGCAGTTTATCAGTGCCTTCACCACTGAAGAAAAGGACTCCCTTCACCCTAGGGTCCATTAACTGCCTGTAGAGAGACAGAGACTTGTAAGTCCCTCCTCTATATATGCTAATGAGCCTAATCTCATGCAGGAAACAAGAGCTTCAGTGAGTTCATGATTTCATTGGCCATGCCGCACTGATCACTGTTTCACACACTCCTCCAAGAGTTCTGCCACTTGCATTACTTACACTCTCTGTTCCAGGGTGTTTGCTGGGTGTGCACACCCTACCTCCTGTGTTCGTGTTTGTGTGTGTGATACAGATGTCCCACTCAGAGCCGAGCACTGCACTGTCACTTATTGTCCACACACACAATTGTGACTGCATGACCCACTGCAAAAAGAGGAAGCTTCTCTGATGAAGGCTAAGAACAGAGCTAATCTCAAAGCACAGCCAGCAGTCTGTGTAAAAGCTTCAATGAAGCAAGTTGCTTATTTACTTTGGAAGCCATCTGCAGAGATGCAGAAAGAGGCTGATCCTGAGAACTTGTCACACAGTGGCACCTCTAAGGCTAGATCTACATTTGGGGGACAGGAAATAAGTAAAGCATCTTTGTGTGTGAGGCCAGAGACCAATTCTCAGTCCTTTGATGTGTGGGAAAAGATCTAAGATAGTCTTCTGACTCTGTATATTAGAGTATGTACTAGCAGTATCCAGAAGCTGATGGTGACCTGTAATAGTATGTCTATGTGTGTGAGTTCTATTGTTAGGAATTCCAAAGAAGATAGACACGAGACCAAAAAAGGCCAGGCAAGGTTTCAAAAAGGGGCAACAGGCTGAGCCAAGGCAGTAGTATGGATGAGCTAGGGGAGGGGTAAAGGTTAATTATGCTAGTCTTCCAAGTGAGCATGAGCATGGTGCTGCAGGGAATGGGGGTGGCATTGCAGGAAGAAGCATCTTCAGACAACTCCACAGATGGGATTCTGCCCCTGTGGCCTTAGTGTCCATCTTCATCTTCTCTTGGGCATCCCCTTTTTGCTGCCTAGCTTGTCCTTTGAGGCTCAACATTCTCCCATGGATGCCGACTTACACACAGCAGGTCAATGATCTTTCATAGCAGGGCCCTAAGAGTTTGGGGTTGAGTTATTCTTATCACAGTCTGTCAGTGTCCTGGCTTGAGAGCTGAATCCCGATTCCAACCCCCTGCCATGATGTGCCACTACTCTGTTCTGCTTCACGAGGCACTGTTACTGGTCTTGTGGTTCTGCAGGTCCCCAAAGGAACTGATCAGAATTGGGCCCAGAAGCTCTACGAACGGCACTCCAACAGCCAGCACTTCCAGAAACCACGCATGTCCAACACAGCCTTCATTGTCATCCACTTTGCAGATAAGGTATCTGTCCTTTTTGTTGACCTAGGCCATTTTAGGCCCACAGTAGGAAAAATAAAGGGTTCCCAGGCTAAGGAAATGGCCTTTGTGAGTTCCAGTGGCCTGGGGTTGTAGATAGATTCCCCTCTGCACTTTGCTTCCTCAGCCTGCCCTGACCCCAACTCTAGTATACCAGACTGTCAAGACTAGATACAAGCTAAGCATATGCTATCACAGTTGCCTTTCACATAAACATCAGGTAGTAATTGAGGGTTGCTCTCCTGGGACAACCGCAGTAGTGGAGCAGTTAGGAGTCATTGAGCTGCTGTCATTGAGCCTGAGCAGAGGGAGGAGTGAAGACAAGGTTCTTACATGTTTGGGCTCTTTCTGGAGTAGCTTGACTGATCCCAGTGATGGGGATAGACACTGAACATCTCTAAGTGGACTTCAACCAAATTCTTAGGTGGTAATGTGCGTGTAATTGCGTATCCTGATTCAATGCATCTGGGACACTGGCTGAGAAGTTGCATTCATGGAGCCTAAAAAAGCTTTCTCTCATGGGAATTCCCTTTTAAGATGGCATTTTCCTCTGTGTAAATCTCGACATAATGGATTTGCATTTTAAACAGGGACATCTGTGGGTCTCCGTTTACTCTCAGCTTCTTTAGAAAAATGTTACTAGATGAGATGAAATTGCTTAAGAAGCTGCTAAGGCTCCTGAAAGACTGTTTTTTTTTTTTTTTTTTTTTTTCTTTTATTGCCATGAGCTCAGGTGGAGTACCTTTCCGATGGTTTTCTTGAGAAAAATAGGGATACGGTATATGAAGAACAGATCAACATCCTGAAGGCCAGCAAGGTAAAGAACACTGGGAGTGGGGCTGGTGAAGTCACTCAGTGGGGGAATGCTTGCTTAGTCATGTTAGAATACTTTCACGGGGCCCTGGGATCAATCCCCAGCACCTTAAAAAGATAGACATACGGGAACTGGGTGTGGTCATGTATGCCTGTTATTCTAGCACTCTGGAGATAAAGGCAGGAGGATCACTGAAAGCTCAAGGCCAGTCTGATCTACATAGCAAGTTTTAGCTGGTGCTAAAGAATGAAAAAATAATAATATAAACCAACAGATAAGGGATGGGCTATGTTCCTATGAGCCCCACTATGAAATATGGGGCAGTAGCAATGTGAAGTGTTTTTTGTTACATCTTGTGAGGGGACAAAGCAGGAAGAAGGCATCTTTCAATTCCAAGAGGGAAAAGCTAGGAAAGACAACCCCAGATGAAGCTCATGGGAGGTGCAAGACAGCTGACAACCAGGAAGAGATACAGGAGTAAAGCTATGCTGAAAGGTTCGCTAATGTTCAAGTCACCTGCCTTCCTTCCTCTGCTTGCATACATAAGACGATTTGAACCACCCCAAGCCTAGTGTTTGTGTACTTCATTTCTGTTCGGCCATCTAAAGGACAAAACCTGAATGTACTTGTATTAGTCAGGATTCCCTAGAGAAATAGGACTGGTAGACTGAATAGCTATAATATTTTATTAGCATGGCTTACATGACTGTTCTGACAATGTCTGTCTCCAAAGAGAGAGTCCAAGGACCCAACAGTTGTTTGGTTCATGACACTGGATGTCTCAGCTGGTCTTCAGTATGTGTCAGAATCCCAAAGAAGCAGGCTCTAATAACTAATGAAGGAATAGACTTTTCCATCGAGAGTGAGGACACTCAGGCAAAGACCAAGAGCTTCCTTCTGCCATGTGCTTTATATAGGCTGCCACTAGGAAGCGTGGCCCAGATTAAAGGTGGATCTTCCCAAGTCAAATGATCCAATCAAGAAAATCCCTCATGAGTATGTTAAATGTTTGGGTTTTAATTAATTCCAGATGTAGTTGAGTTGACAGCCAAGAATAGCCATCACAGTAATAAAATGTGAAACTTCAAGGACAGTTAAACCTACTTTGGAATATTTATTATCTCCAAAATTTCATCTGCTCCTTTTTTCAGGACCGTAGCAAAGAAATGCAGATAGTGTGTCCATCTGCACTTCTCACTATATACTTGTAAGCACTTTCCTGTGAGTCACCATACCAACCCACTCTTTTCATTCAGAGATGAGCAAAGCTACATTCTTGTTGTCCCTAGATGAGCTGAGCTGATAAGCATCCACACAGGAAATATAAAGGGAACAGAGACCTCAATAGTAGAAGGACAAGAAGCCTGGGCGTGCCTGCAGCCAAAAGGGGCCAGTGCACCTACAGCTGATGCAGGTATAGACAGTGGTGCCAGCCTCGGCCCTTCAGTACATCCAGGACCACTCTGCAGGATTTAGGAGCCTTTCTCCCAGACTACATTGTACCAAACTCACTGCAGGGCCCTGATAACACTGAAGAGATGACAGTAATTTCTCTTTGTGATAAGCTTTAGAATTGTGACTGCAATAGAGAGAAATGATGCGATGGAGAAAGAGCAGCCAGAAGCATTGACCCAGGCGATTAAGGCCAGGTGAACCCTTTTTCAATCAGGTCAAAGATGGGATTTGGGTAGGGTTTGAGTCAGCAGCAGCCCATTGTTTGTCATCTGAGCATATATCCACATCAGGGAACAAACTGCAGAGACAATCAGATTGTTGTAAACATGCATAGTGTTTTGGAGTTTGATCTCAGATTAATGTCTAGATCTTTAGCTCATGGTGGTTAGCAGGAGTTTCTCCATTATTGATGATAATGGGGATGGAGCATAGAAAAGTATTCTCTAATCACAATTGAAGAGAAGAAAAACTATCTGGCAAGGCAAGTATTATTAGCTGAGCAGTTTTTGCCACTTAATTTTATTTAACAGTTTCATTGAATAGTTAGGTATATAGAAACATATATGGACACATCTAGACAATCTTTGAGATTTTAGTCAAGTGAGAAAATGCATTTAGTACTTAACATGTGAGATGCAGAAAGATGTGTGTGATTGTGATGCAGGAGTGTGGAGGTCAAGAAGAAAGTTCTATAGAAGAGTGTGTTGGAGACCTCAGTGTCAGCAATTTGCTACCAAGACCTGCAGAAGTTGAATGTGGTCATGCTTAGGGTAACAATTATTACAGTGTAAGAACACAAAGCAAACTCAGCAAAGAACAGGTGTGTAGGGGAGCATCAAGGATACAGCAGGTGCAAGCTTCCAAAACCCTTCTCCCGGAGAATCACATAGGTGTGTGGGGTTCCTCCACAGAGACAAGTGCAATAGTACTTAAGAGGATGTTTGCCAATGGACTGGCACTCTTGGTCTAGCAAGAAGTAAACCTTCAGACTCCCACGAGAAAAGCAGATGCTCACCAATGAATGAAATTGTTTGCACAGCCAAATTAGAAATAGTGAAGCAGTCATATCAGGGAATGGTGAAAACCCACCCAAAATCCAAGTTGCCAGATGCCAGTCAAGAGCTGGGCTGGAAAGCAGGCCGTGGGAAGGATGGTGCTCTTGCTCTTTTCTACACATGATGGTGTCTTAAGTTAAACATACTGGACTTTTATTAGAAATTTAGTGATAAAAATTGAAATATCACAGAGTTATATACAAGGCCCCTCTCCCATTCCATGAGCCATCTTCTGTTGAGTGCTTAGTCTGCATTATAGCACACTGGTGTGTTCTTTTAAGGGTGAAATAATCAAAATATGCAAAACTGCTCCCCTCTGCTTTTGTACATATCGTTGTGTCTTGGCCATCCCTTCATATGTATACACACAGGCTTTTCCTTTTGTAAATAACTCTTGGTAGTTTGCTATTATTTTTCAAGTGAAATTGATTGTTCAATTGGTATGTGCAACAGTTGTAGAGTTGTTAAACTGAAGGGGAAAAAAAAGTCTGTGCTATTTTTTTTTTTTTTTAATGACAGACTCCCTTGTTTTGCCCCAACCCAACTACCACACTTCTGGCTTTCCATGGCCATGTTGCCTCCTCTACGTGTGCACAACCAGAACCTACAGATGAGCCTGCACAGATGCTGCTGCACAGCAAAGAGGGGCACTGGGCTCTCAGGCTCTGCCTGATGCCTAGTGCATCTGTCATTATGAACACTTACACGTCTTTCTTTACTAAGCCATGCTCATTTTTAAAAAATGTTTAGCTGTAGTAGCAGTCCTCCAAGACTTAGGTTTGAACTGCAAACCAAAAATAAAATAATAAAGACCTAGAAACATTTAAGACCCTAGGACACCAACTGGATAATGTAAAGCTTACTTTTTAAAGATAAGTTTTAATCTCTAAACACAGCTAATTCTCAAATCATTGTTTAAATCATAATTTTATTTCATGTATTTTTATTTTATGAGAATCCTATTGGCTTTTATCCTTTATGTGGCATACCTGATAAGAAATTATCACCTTGTTGAGAGTGATTAAGTGGTGTGAAACAGAGGAGTCCCCCCTGCCACCAGCCAGGGAACCATCACAGAAAGCACACTTGGGATAAAGCAAGGAGAATGCGATTAGGGAAGCCTGTTAGACTATGAAGAGGCAGAATGGAGCTAATGGCTTCTCAGCTATTACAGAGCTATAAATAGGGACGCAGCAAAGAAAGGCCTCTTTAAAACCCAGCATTAAAACATTCATTCCTTTTAATACTAAGAACAGCAAGTTTTCCCTCCCAACTGTTATGCTTAAGGAAAGGATTATCTTGGTGTAGGGGAGGCTCAGGGGATGCAGTCCTAAAAAGGACAGTGTTTTTCCTCTGAAGATGTTCTCTCACAATGTGTAGGTCAGAGGGACAACTATTCATTTGGAAATTGATGTCAGTGTGAGCCAGGCAACCTGGCCATGGGTCTGGATGGACACAAGTAACACTGTCTTTCCACTCTATGTCCTCCAAGAAGTGACTTAAAGTACAGTACAGGTTATAGAGTCTGTCCAAAGCACCTCCACTGAGCCTGGTGATCCCCAGGATCCAGGCATAGCAGAGAAGCCCCTCAGACTGAGGTCTAATGTTCCACTTGGAACAAATGTGTGTGCCTTAGGGTTCTTTGGAGCAGAACCGGTGAAGTGTGTGTGTGTGTGTGTGTGTGTGTGTGTGTGTGTGTGTGTGTGTGTCTGTGTGTGTCTGTGTGTGTGTGTGTTCGTTCATGTGTCTGAATGTCCTCATGTGTGTGTGTGTGTGAGAGAGAGTGATATGTATATATAAAAGAATTTGTAAAACAGTAACAAGTTTTCTCACTCTCAAGAAGCTGAAAACCTGGACCAGATCCTCCCTTGAGGCTGGGGCCCCAGCAGTTGGAGGACCCTCATAGTGGCTGTCTGACACCAGGAGGGCCGAGAACCCAGTTGGAACTTGGTCCACAAGGTTAGGTGCCTCTGTAGTCTCAGTCTGGAGCCACAACCCTGAAGGATTCCTGCCACTAGTGCTTAGTCAGTGATCTGAAATAGCAAAGAAAGCAGCAGCAACAGGGCAAATCTACTCATTGGCAGGAGGGAGAGCCAAGTGAGCAAAAGGCCATTTTTATCTGGAGGTGCTGCCTACAATTTGGGGTACATCTGCCCACAACTGGAGTGCACCTGGCCACATCAGTTAAGGTGGTCAGAACAATTTCCCTACCCAGGTGATTCTAATCTGTAGCAAGTTGACATTAAAAACCCCCATCGAGGTTTGCTTTAAAATTCATTACTGTTGGGTGTAAGCTTTATAGTACTTTGTTGAGACTATGCATTATGACACACGTGTTCCTCAGTATGCTTGGCGTCCAATACCCTGGCTGTTGGAAAATGTGTCAGATAATAAGAAGATTAGAACTTCAGTTGATAAATAGTGTTGCCTCCCTTTTCCAAGGTGGGGCTGAGTCTTTCAAAGCCCATTAAATATTTTTTTTATTTATATGTT